CCAAAATGTTGGCTGTCCTTGCAGCCCTTCTTTTTCTCTAATCCAGAACTTTTTAATGTTCTCCACCTTAAGGTTATGAAACATAAAATGCAAACCTAATGTGTTAATAAGGGCATATCTGTAGACATGTAGTTATGATACTAGAAGGAATATATTACAAGTGATACTGTATATATTCTGTTACCAGGAAAGAACTTAATCTACTACATGTACCTCTTTTCGAGTCATTGCACATACAATTACATCATGATTATACTAATATTGTCCTCATCCTGAAAATTATGTACTAGTCAACTGTTCTTTTTTAGTTCTTACTAAGAATTAGGTAAGTAGCAGTGTGCTATGAAATAGGCCATAAAGACTTTTTCTTTTTCTGTCACTTTCTTAAGGCTTAGTCTAGGGAGTGACACATAATTGTTTAGCGATTAAATTACAGTACATTAATCAACTTCATATAGTCAGATTGATAGCAGATACCAATGAACTGGTTAGTTAAATCTTTTTATTTTGAAGTTACCTCATATCAGAGTTTACTATAGTATTGTTAGAACAGGGGATTGACTTACTGCAAATACTAGAAATAGACTAGGAATAATCATTGATACAAATTTTTGGAAACCTTGGATATTAGAAACTATATCTTAGTGGACTAAAGCACCTGCTTAGGCAGAGTGTAGAAGCTGGGGTTCAATCCGCAGTGTGCTGTGCCAGCCCTGCCCCCAGAGCTCACTTAGACAGTGACAATTGAGACTGGGTGTGGTGGCGTACCCCTGTAATCCCAGCACTTGGGAAGCTGAAAACGAGAATTACTAGGAGTCCGATCTACATAGTGAGACCCTGTAGATCCTGTCCTAAATACAGAAAAAGAAAAACAAAAACAAAAACAAAAAGCACCCTACAACTTAGAAAATCTCTGCTTAGGGATTCCTTGGATATTGGAAACTACAGAATCTCTGTTTGTGGATTAAAGGCCTTTTCTTGCATGTAGGGCAAATGATACAGATTTTGAGCTGACAACTTCCCCATTTGTTTTTTT